CCATCTGATGACAGATTGAGAAGTGCATGGGCTTTTTATTCAGAGAATTTATTTAATGTATCTGCTGGGACGTGGACAGAGATAGTGGTCATTAATGAGAAGTGCAGATCAGAGGTTTGGTTCAACTTACTGTAGTAACCAACCACGACAACAACAAAAAAACGTCCAAGCGCGTATTCCCACTAAACAAAACCCAAAGTACATACTGGTAGTGTACTGCAGAAGTTACACCAGTATCGATCGTGTAAACACTCTCTAAGTTATTAAGTCCTACACTGGCCTACACAACTTTCTTGTGTCTTATGCATGTTAACACTCAAACCTTCTTTGCAGTCATAGCAAACAGCGAACACTAATGGAGTTTGAGAAAGAGTTTGAAGTGTCTCATGCATAAGTAACAAATGTAGGTTGTTTGAAAATTTTCTCAGTGATAATTAAAATTCAAATAAAAATGCACGTTTGAAAGCTTGAGCCTTCAGCCTTACTTAGAGCTTTCTTAACAAAACACAAGCATTTATTGTCTCGCGGAATAGTTAAAAATGTGGACTACTAGTTTACTTTTTTATGCAAAAATGTACATAAGCTTACCTGTTCTGAAAAAGATGCTTTTCATTGAATGAATTTATGCAGTTTAAGTTCACTTGACCACACGTGTTTGAAGCCATCGAATTTCTGCGAGCCAGATTGTTAAGGTCTTGCACCTCTCCCAGACGTTTTGCAGCTCTAAACTTGATAAAATGCTGGTTTTTTCTTCAACAAAACAACAGAACGGCTAACATATACTGAAGTAGATTGTAGTGTCCGCAAATATGGAGGAATTCAGCCATTTTTACTCGTCGCGGCGGGAAGGAGTAAAATTTGCAATTCAAATTAGTTTAGCTGCACCACAGGTTACCCAACCGTAAGAATCTCGGGCTATTAGGGGTTTTGAGGAGATCAACGTTTTATAAGAAGAGGGGTATTTACAATCCAGCGTAAGAAGAGGCAAAATATTTTTGAGTCGAAGGACAAGTTTGTTTCAAACGTCTTCAGACAGGAAAGCTTGGCAGAGAAAGTTGTATAATAAGAATTGGATTCGTCTTTCGTATGATCTGAAGAATTATACAGACCTAAGAGGGTCCTATCTGCCTCAACCGATAACACCCGCCTATATCTGTAGAATTAGGGGGGCAGGAGTACGTTTCTCGAAAGGTGCGGTAACTTTTCGGGCCCGAAGGCAAAATTTAAAATCAAAACCTGTTCAATAGTAGCACAGTTCCTAGCTCTGAAACCCCTAAAATTTGCTTCGTTAACTGAAAGTTTCAATGCATCATTTTCAAAACATGTTATTGAAACTGTGATTTTGAGTGCAAACATGTCAAACATAAAACAGCTTTTCAACCCCGAAAAGTTACCGGGACTTTCGAGAAACAGGCCCCAGGGCCCTTAACAGAAGAATGCATAGAGTTATTCCTTCTCGGCTTTTGGGAGGCATTCCATACCCACCATCAATGTAAAAAGGGTGCTTACATGTGGTTCTTTTCTACAGGAAATGGAAGTTTTCCCGATAAAAGCAACTAACTATTCAGTCAGTAACAAAAATTACCATTTGTTTCGGCCGTTCTTTTAATCTCAACCAGATTTATATTATCATTGCTAAGTATTATGCATTCACAATAAATTTCAATATGTAAAAAATAAGGGAGTCCGCCATAGAACAACTGATAAAACTAATTGTGGTGATATCTCCTCAGATCTCCTCATGAGCATTTTCAACACTATCGAATTTTGGTGTTCCAGATTTTGTTGATCTTGAACTTCTGTATTTCCATGCCCTGCTCCAAGAACGGGCACAGACTTTGTTCGGTGCTCAAAATATTCGCCTCTCGATTTCCCCAGGCTCAGTAAAGCTTGCCGAGGTTCGGTGACAACGTTTATGTACGCAAAAGGGTGTTTCATACCTGGTCCATGGCAAGAGATCTTTCTCTGCTTATCAAGGCCAGGTGAACTGGGAAAAAGAGACGCTATCCGCGCGAGACTGGGTAATGAAAACGTCAGAAACTCCAATGGGTTGATCGGATAGTCGGAATGGCGACCCCAACGAAGAAGTCAGTCGACGATAACAATCAGGGTGGCAAAGGAGTTTTCCGTGATACGTGATGAACCCAAATAATCAGCGTGATGCGTACCACCTTACGCGGCTAATTTGGGCCAAATCATTTGGCCTAGTAGCGTGATGCGTTATTTACTATTTTCGCAGCGCGTGATTTTTCCTTTGAAATTTCCGCGGTGGATAATGTCATTTGAAACTAGAAGCTAAAGCATTAAAAATAGATAGTTATGACACCAACTTATTGCCCTTTCTTCTCGTTCTTCGACCTCTGATTTCCTCAGATCAAATGATAATAGGATACTTCTTAATGTAGTTGATATTTTATTTTTCCGTGATGCGTGATAGCTTGAAAAAAAGTCCGCGTGGTGAGAGAAAGGTACCCCCCACCCCCTTTGCCACCTTGAACAATGTCAGTAAGATCAGTATTCGATTTAATTGTTCTCAATCGAGATTTGGTCTTCACGGCGATCATGACTAATGCGTCACCTGAAGAACAACAGTGAAAAGAAAGGTGATGATGTTGATAATGATAATGAAGCTAAAAAAGGCTTGAGACTGAAAGCAGGTTGTTGGAGCCGATTCTCAACCAGGCCGCTGAGGTTCCATAACTACCTGGGGTCTCGTAAGTGGAATTCATTGCTCACTTCTGTTTGGTGCTTCTGTTATGGGATTACGGGGATGTCAGAAAAGAACTGTCCGTTTATGTTTTCTGTACCGACCGCGATAAAAACACTGCCGGTTTTTAGCTCCTGATACCCAGTATTTTGATAATGTAAAAGCTTTGCTGATTAGGACGTCTTTACTAATTGCTTCATTGTTGCCTTTTGTTTTTGGTGCGATCGTTCAGAGCAGCGTTATCACATCGATAACCAAAAGCTACGGTTGACTTAATCGTTGTATACTACGTCATTGATACCTGTTCAACTTCAGTCTGAGTTATCGTAACTGGTGAGCTAGAGGCTCCAATGCAGAAATATGTTGCCAAAAGTCCTACTTTCTTTATACATTTCTTAAGGCAAATTATGCAGTCAATACTGTAATTAGTCAGTAAGCTGCTGCTAACGACAAAGTTTTGTTTGAGCGGAAATCATTAACTTCAATAGACTTGGCACTTTTAAAATATACGAACAAACTAAGGCCCGGTTCGACTAACGTCTCATTTCACATCTGCCGAATATATTATTATTATTTTATTTTATGTATTTAGCAGATTACCACTAAGAAAAATTACAAATTTTCTCGTGACAGGGCACCCTGAATAGAGAACCACGGGACAGAATTACAATCTAGGCTTCCCATTTACACCCCCCCCCCCCAGGGGGTGTACTCCATACAATCGCTTATATAGGCGTCAGCATATGGAAGGGGAAGGGTAGGGATTTCATTTGTTTGATTATATGAAAGGTTAGGGAAGTTTGTCATCTCCGTCTGTACTAAAGGCTCAAAAGCCGCTAACAGATGTATTTCATAATTGTGAAAAAGTCCAGCAAACGTTCTGGTTTTGTGCTTTATTCATACTTTAAAGACAGCGTAGTATTTAAAAGGATGCAAAGTTCCAATCTAAGTATGTGACAGGGGTACCATTTGTCAATAAAAGGTATACGACAGGGATACCTTTTCCGTCAAAAATGTTATATAAAAGGCAAGGTGTTGGACCTCGGGGCGGCGCCTCCCCTTAAAAAACTTTGATAGGTACCCCCGGGCCATTTACGAACGTTGGAAAATAGAGAATTTTATCAAAAGGCAAAAATAAATAAATAGATGATAAAAGACAGGAATAAGCTAAGTGGGAGTAACGAAGCTTAGAGGTATAATCAAGAAGGGGTAAAACTTGACTATATCAGACATGATAATAATGTAAAGGAAGAGGAAAAATAAATACAAGTAATTATTATTCAACCCTATAAATTTAGGGCAAGTTTGCTAGTTGAACTTAAAATCTACCTAAGTTTTGTTAAAAGACATTTACAAATGCTGATGAGGAAATCCATTGTTCTCGCGCCCATCGCGCCCATTATATTCGGCGGATGTAAAATGCGACGTACGTTTATCAGTAACGGGCCTATTTAGGAAGCATCTGTCAATTATGATTGTTAGTTTGATTTTCCCTTTTCACAAACTACCAAGAACTTCACACGAAAAACAACTGTTTGAAATGTAATCTATTTGTACTGTATAATTCTCATAAAGAAATCTCCGTTTTTTGTCTATTCTTCAACGATTATTGTTTCTCATTTTCTTAATTTTTCACTACAAAAGACTTTGTTCGTCATTCCAGCAGCCATAAAACCATTTGCATGTAAATGACACGCCAGCTGAATATATTAATCGATGTCGATCGAAGGACAGAATACCTATATAAAATTTTCTACCGTTTCATTCAAGCAATATGAGGGCATATCCAGTTCCTTTTTGTGGTGCTTGCATGAGACAAATAGATAGTTTTCGTCAAATCCATGATCCATGAAATACCCTCCCAGACCCGGAAAATGGGGAATGCTAGTCTGTTAAATTAATTTTTTGTTTATTACCAAGCTAATTGATAAAATAATCTTAAACTATGTATATTCCACAGTCCTTGTTATTGACAATAGTTAATTCCCTTTTTTCAAAGCTTTCTTAAACTTCCCCACTCCCCTTACTTCTAATGTTAAACTGTAAAGGAACAGTGTGAAGGATAGTAAAATAGATCTTAAAGGGTGTAGCAAATTGATCAATAAATGGCAAGAAAAAGTGTCGGTAGCATATTAATCCCGACACAATTACGATAATGTTTGAAAAGATGAATTGTTTAGTCCAGTAAATGGGAGATGATGTACCGAATTGCTGCATTTTAAGACAGAAAAATCTATATTTTGGTTTTGAAGTCTTACCAACGAAATTGGTAGGTTTAAATATGGAATAGTTG